CCTCTGTTCCTGGGTTGAGATGCTGGATCCCACATGTGCTCTGCCAGCTACCACTCACCCTGGATCCCCACCAAAGCTGAGCGGATGCCTTTGAATATTCAAAACCATGTGCTCAATAAAGCTCCTTTTCTTCATGAGTAGACCGTGTCAGGTATTTCATTATAGTGATGTCGAGCTGACTAATACAGGACCGTTTCCTCCAACATCCATTCAAGGTCTGACTCCCATCTCTTTCCTGATAACAAAGTGTGCTCTCATTTGCTCTTTCCCTAGTGCCCGCTCATCCCACCTCTTCCCATGTTGCTGTGGGGAGAGAGCTCCCTTCTTTCTATCCCCAGCTTCTCCCTGATGATGTCCATCTTTGGCTTTAAGAAACCTGGGAACCCTTACCTCAAGTCCTTTGGTGCCGTTGCTCCTTCTCCCCACCTAAGCCTTGGGAGACATGGTTAGGGATCGTCTGCTTCTGTCTGTGCCCCTCTCTGGATAGGCTTTGAGAGCTCTGAATCTGCTCCTCCAGTGGCCAGGTCCTCCTCTAGCATTCTTCCCGTCCCTCACCCCTTCCTGACTTCTGCCTGCCTGAGTCCTCCACACCCCCTGCCTTTATCCTGGAGGAAGCTCTCTGTAACCACGCCCCGTCTTCCAGCTCACAGCTGGGCAGATGCACAGATGCCCAGGAGACGGCCTCTGCCAGGGCACCCCGAGTCATGGCTGGACCTCGATGCCATGTAGCACTCCCGTCCTTTGTCTCATCCAGTGGCATTGCTCCACCCCCCTCCGAAGATCCTACATTTACCCTTAACTCAGGTTCTATATTTAAATGGACCCTGACTTGCCTTTGATTCACAGAGAAAATCAGGTGTCATATTCATAAAATCTTTGGGTTCCTACCGTGGCTTTGATTGTACTTATCTTCAAATGTATCCACTGGAGGTGGAGGTGCTGGCTCTCGCCTGCCTCCCCAGATCCCTCCTCTGTGCCGGCTCTGTGCCTGACGACTGCTTCCGCACGGGGACCCTTCACCAGCCACCCTGCACTTGTGGCTTCCCAGGAGATGGGAGTGAGGCGCAGGCAGAGGCTGCCTGTTTCTCCCTGCTCCCTGCCCTCTGTCAGCAACTTTAGTCCTCTAAAACTCCAGCAGCGTGTCCCCACAGTTCCAGTGGAATTCCACGGGCCCCAGTGTGACTCCTTCTCCTTCCCGTTCTAAAGGTGGAAATGGCTCTGGTCCCCACCAATCCCTGGGGTATCACCGTCCTTGGGGGCTGACTTCACACCACCTCTCCGGGTGTCCTTCTCATGAAACTCTCTCTTGGAACCATCTGGGAGCGGGACACTCATTTTTCCATGGTACCCATTGAACTTGGGTTCCATATTTATCCTCTGATTTCTGACCATTTTTTTTCTTAGCTCCTCTCTGGAAAGCCTGGCAATTTCAAGTTTTAGCCTTTATTCCTGACTGTCCAGCGCTGGACACCTCTATGTGGGAGGCCCCATCGTTCGTATGCAGACAGCATCCCACCTTTCCCTGCCCTCTGCATCCTAAAGCAGGAGACTGAACTCAGCCTCGAATCCAGGTCAGAAATGTGGGCCTCACTTTTCTCTCCTCTCAGGAGAAGAAGGTGGCCTGCGGGGTTCCAGGGGCTAGCCAAATCCACTGTGGGCTCCTTCAGGGGCTTCAACAGTGAAGCCAGATTTAAAGATGGGTAGTTAGTGTAGTCAGGTAAATCGGGTCTAATACCGAGTAAAATAAAAAAAATGAAGGCCATGTTGAGAATGGAGCCCGGGAAAGCAGAGCAGCACTGGAAAATTGTAATGTTGACGTTCCCCAGGCCCAGAGCCCATTCTAGAGAAATGTTAATGAAACAGCTCCCAGCAAACAGCCAGGTGCTAATCAGAAGCGGCCCTAGGCCCTTCCTGCCCAGATTACTCCTCAGGCCCATCTGCCCCTCACCTTTTGGGTCTCCCCACCTATAGAACAAAGGACAGGAACCTGACAAAAATGCGGAAAAGGTGAAAGAAGACCTTAGCTATCAAAGGGGGAAGACCTCCCCCTTCCACAGATTCCACCTCTTGGGTCCCCTTCTTCCTCCAGGGGGGAAGACTTTTCTGCTGTCTTTTAATGAAGCTTCTTCTTTCCACTCTAAACGTGCACGGTGTGCTTCTCTGGTGTTATACTTCAGCATTGGAGAGGCAAGGACTTGTCACCGGTGAACAATGGTAACAGCAGCAGGGTGCTTCTTCTGCATTGTCAGACTGTCTTGGTCTGTTTTTGTTTCTACTAGAAACAGAGTCCCACAGACTGGGTGAGTTATTCAAAAAGAAGGATTTATTTTGGCTCAGAGTTTTGGTCCAAGGTCAAGGGCCTGCAAGTGGTGAGCTTTCTTACTGGCAAGAGTCGTGAGGTGGCAAGAGACAAGAAGGGTGTGTGTGTGTGTGTGTGTGTGTGTGTGTGTGTGTGTGTGTGAGAGAGAGAGAGAGAGAGAGAGAGAGAGAGAGAGAGAGAGAGAGATCTATCCTCTGGTCTCTCCCTCTCTTATAAATTCAAGTGAATTCGATCATGGAGGCTCTCCCCTGCTGATTTTATTTAAGCCAACTCACCTCCCAGAGGGCCCACCTCTCAGCACCATGGTTGGATTAATTTCAACATCAGTTTTTAGAAAGGACGAATCATATGTAAGCCATGGCACAGACTATGAAAATTTCATCCAGATTTATCATCCCCTAACTTAGTAGTCTCCTTCTCATCCATCTCTAGGTTGTTAGACTGATAGACCAGATACTAGGGCTTTGGGGAACAGGGCCTAAAATAAGAATTCCTAGCTCCCCAGTGAGGCAAGGGCTCCCGGTGGGTGTGGGTGTGGTACCTCTGCCCTCTGCACGGCTGGACAGCGCTGTTCCGATGTTGAGACACCTTTGGCTTCTCCTTTCTTTCTCTGTGGTCGTGGGGATTGAATCCAAAAGCAATTGGCTGCTGAGATAAAACCCCCGCTCCTTAAAAATTTTTACTTTGATTCAGGTTTTCACTGAGTTGTCCAGATTGGCCTTGAACTTGCCATCCTTCTGCCTCAGCCTCCCTAGTAGCTGGGATGACAGACGGATGCCTGCCCAGAAGGTTGATACCATCTTGCCCAAGTGCGGCTTTACTGCACAATTATGATCTTGTCACGTTGATCATCCTCTTTGAGTATATATCTTTTAATATGTAGCAACTTTACACTGCTATTTATGTTTTAAAATAACCCATTTCTCCCTATTGGCCTCCTCATAATAAAAGAACTCAAAGTCTCCTGTAGGCTAAAGGGTTAATTCCGTACCATTGGTTTTTTTTCCTTCCCTTGGAGACGCTTAGCTTGCACAGGTGTTCTCTATTCCTTTATCAAAAAAATAAAAATAAAAAATAAAAAGAATGGAGGGAAGGTAACCTCGGTTTTGAATGCGCATTCAGTGTACATTCATAATAAAAGCGGAACCGTTCGAGCGGCACATTCATGGCTGCTCCTTGATGTAACTGAACTGGTGAATGAAAGTTTGGGGCTCAGCTCACCTCCAAGAGAGTGGTCCTGTTCACACTGAGCCCTGACCCGTTGATCTGGAATTTCCTTGAAAAACTCCTTTTTTCCTTTCTCCACTCACAGCCGTCCTCCTTCTCCCAGAATCTTTGGAATCGAGCTGGGTGGTATTTTTTTTTTTCCTTTCCTCCTTCTTTCTTTTTTTCCCACACTGCCGTTGGATAAAAGATCCCGCCCTTGATTGAAATGGAACCTTCCACTATGGAGCGAACCTTTGTTGAATGAGTCATCGGCGCGGCCGCTCATTGGCTGAGGCCTCGGGAGCCCGGGGGGTTGCCTGGCACCGGCTGCCAGGCCCGGCTCCATTCACAGAATCGCTGGCTCGCTCGCCGGCCCTTTCATTCACACAAACAGCATTTCATTCACATTTTGCTGTT